GGCCCAAGAGGAGACCCCGTGCTGTGTGCCCACCCCTGCCCAGGCCCAAGAGGAGACCCTGTACTGTGTGCCCACCCCAGGCCCAGGCCCAAGAGGAGACCCACCTTGCTGGGCGCTGGACATGTCCTGAGGTCCCCTCTGCAAATTCAGACTGAGGTGCAGAGAGGAGGGTCCCGCTTTGGTCTCAGCCTCAGTCTGCCACACACCACAGGCAACACTGGCAGCGCTGGTGTGATGGGCCTGGCCCTCTGTGAAACTCCCTGTAGGAGGCACTGTGAGCCGCTGGCTGGGCTGCTTGTGTCTGAGTCAGCAAGTCCAGGAGTGCCTCCTAGACAGACCCCCGACTCACTGCAGGGATTTCACCTTGGAGCCTCAGTTTCCCCAAATACAGTGGGCTACGATTTCCTCCCTTTGAGGGCGGTGGGGCCACACACGTGACTGGCAGGCTCCGTGGATGAATGAAAGCTTTGGAGACCCACTCAGCCCCTGACACCCATCCACCTCGCCTCTCTGTGCAATGGGGTGAAGGCACCTCAGATGTGAGGTCGTGCCTAGGTGCCTGGTGCACCCAGGGCCAGGGGAGCAGCTGGCAGCGCCTGGGAATACAGCTGTGCCACCGCCATTGCTGTGTATGGAAACGTGTGCCCAAGGCCGCTGGGCCAGGCTGGATGGGCAGTGGCACTGATGGAGGCTGAGTGTGTGCTGTGTGCGTCCCTGTGGGCGGAGGAGGACACTGAGGTCACCACCTGTAGGGGCGAAGGTGGGGTCTGAACTTGGCCTGGTACCTGGGGGTCCCTGAGGCGGCTTCTGTGGAGACTGTTGTGCTTTGCCCCCTGACAACAGCACAGACATGGGGCCCATCTCCACGGGCTGTTCAGTTTCCTAGTGATACAGAAGCCTGAGGACAGCTGGGCCGGCCTCGTCTTCCCAGCGGCAATAACAACCCCATCCCGTCACTGGCGGGGGGCCAGGGGGCCTGGCCGCAGGGCCTGAGCACGGAGCCCCGAGCTGGGGTCGCGGGGAGGCGCTGAGGCCACATGTGGGACATGGCGAAGTTGGGAGCAGAACCTGGCTCAGAGGGGCTAGGTGCTCCACGTACCCGCGGCAGGTGGCACAGAGCTGGGTGGTTCCAAGTTCCCCAGGCCAGTGTCGGAGGTAGCTGTGCCAGGAGGGTGGGGGCAGAGCAGGTGCAGGGCTGTGCCTGGCGGGTGGGGGCAGAGCAGGTGCAGGGCTGTGAGGAGCGGGTGGGAGCTTCAGGAAGTCATGGTCTTGTCCTTGCTTGGCCACCCAGGCGCTCAGTGACCTGGGCAAGGCCCCTCCCTTCTCTGGGACCCGTAGCCCTGGTCTGGGTGCTGGGAGCGAGGGCTGTGGTCCCGGGCTGCCTGGCTCCTCACCTACAGGCTCCCTGAGGTCCCCACCTTGTTTCCTGTGCCTCTGGAAAGGGGGCCTAAGGATCCCACACACACACACGGTACCCAAGGAGGAGTCTCTGAACATCACACGACCTCCTGCCCAGCACCCGGCCACACTCGGCTGTTCCTAGAGGCATGGACATCATCCCCGGGGCGGGCGCAGGAGGCCAAGCCCTCGCCTGTTCTCTGGGTGAGAGTGAGAGAGGCGTGGCCTCAGGGCTCAGGCCTGCCCGGCACCCCGATGAGGAGACTGGGCTTCCGGGGTGTCCCTTTGAGGGACAGCAAAGGCAAAACCTGAGGGGCAGGAAGACAGGGCACTGGTGCAGCCAGGGGCTCCCCAGCGTGCATCTGTTCCACGTTCCCCAGCCACCCCTGACATGACAGATGGGGAAACTGAGGCTCAGGGAGGGGGAGGCAGCGCAACTGGTTGCTGACAGCTCTGCTTGATGGATGCCCATCGGGAGGCTCGGCTCCCATGGCCAGGTGGGCTGGGACACTGTCTCAGCTGCCTGGCTCCTCCTTTCAGGAAAGGCCAAGAGGAAGAAGGACTTACGGATAGCCTGTGTGTCCAAGCCGCCCGCGCCCAACCCCACGTGAGTCTGCCTCAGTTTCTCCCTGGGCTCAGCCTGGGGGGCCTCTGGGAGGGTCCCAGTGGACGGGGCATGGAGGGGTCGTGGGCCCGGCAGAGCCCCGCGGAGCCCTCTGCGCGGTCGCGGCCTGGGGCTCGCGGCATCTGGGTCCGTACTGTGCTCTTCTCCCACCTCAGGTGGAGGGGGCGCCTGGCACCTGGCACAGCAGGTGCACGGGGCGAGAGGAGGGGCCTTGAGGAGTGCTGCCTCCTGGGGATGGACATGCCTCTGGCCCCAGGTTGGCCCCTTCTCTGCTGGGAAGGGTGTGGTTCTCAGACTCATGGGATCTGTGTTTTCCCTAAAGCCCCCCTAGGAACCTGGACTCCCGGACCTTCATCACCATTGGAGACAGGGTAGGTGCTGGCTAAAGCCTGGGCTCAGTCTTTTCCTCGAAGGGGCCCAAGCTGATCCCGTAGGGCCCGAGTTGACCTCTAGGGCCCAAGCTGACCCCATAGGGCCCGAGCTGACCCCCTAGGGCCCGAGCTGACCTCCAGGGCCAGGAGAGGTGCTGTGGGCCCGCGCCCTCATGCTGACTCCCTTTGGAAGGGCACAGTGGCCTCCTCCTGGGGCCCTGCTGAGCTTCCTTACCTCAGAGTCTGTCCCCACATCACCCGTGGGGACTGTGGGCCATGCAGACCCCTGCCCGGCTCCTGGGTGCATGCCTGGAACCTGAGTCCCACAGGCACCTCCGACGGCCGGGCAGGGACTGTGAGTCCTGGTCAGGGACCCCGCTGGACCCACGAGACACAGTGAGGGCTCCAGGCAGAGACCTAACTATGGAGGCCTCTTCCTGCAGACAGCTCCTTTCAGGCGTATTTCTCCTCCCTGACCTCGTCCCTGTTTGATGACCAGTTCATCTACTTGCTTATTTCTTTTGGGTCTGCCTCCTGCAAGAGAGGGCGAGCATGAGAGAACAGATGGCCCACGCCACGCTGCTTCCTGTGAGAGCAAGGCCTAGTTCTCTCTCTGTGTCTCCAGTGCCTAAAACGGACTTGCACATAGTAGGCACTCAGCAAATTGAATAATTCAGTCTACCCTTCTGAGTAGGGGGGCGAGCAAGAGGGAAAGGGCCTCCCTTGAGTCCCCTGTGCCTGCAGGGGGCACTTCACAGGCTGTCCTGGTGCTGCGCCTGCTCTGTAGGTGGGGGTGTGATGCTCAGAGAGGGAAGGACTTGTCCTGGGTCGCACAGCAGGAGAGGCTGGTGCAGGACTTGAATCCAGGTCTGACCGGCTGGCTGTCTTCCCTTCCCGCTGCCCCAGCTGTCTCCACTGAAGGAGGCAGGGCCAGCTCCTGGCTTTTGACCACCAACCTTCTCTCTCTTCTGTTCCCTAAGAACTTTGAGGTGGAGGCCGATGACCTGGTGACCATCTCAGAGCTCGGGCGTGGCGCCTATGGGGTGGTGGAGAAGGTGCGGCACGCCCAGAGCGGCACCATCATGGCTGTGAAGGTAAGCAGGGTCCTGCCCTGCCAGGGAGCACTGGGCCACAGGACACCTGGGAAGCTGCCTGAAGGAGGTGTGGGGGCTGAGGATTGTGGGGGCTTGCCTCCTGCCGCGTGGCCCCTGACCTGCGGCCCTCTCACTGGCAGCGGATCCGGGCCACCGTGAACTCCCAGGAGCAGAAACGCCTGCTCATGGACTTGGACGTGAACATGCGCACGGTTGACTGCTTCTACACCGTCACCTTCTACGGGGCCCTCTTCCGAGAGGTGGGCCTTGGCAGGAGTGAGGGAGGGGGTGCCAGGCTAGGGGCTAGCAGCTCAGACACCCTGCCTTCCCTCTGTCACACACTTGCCCCCAGGCCCCAGCCGGAAGCCACTTTTGGTCATTCTGGGCTCCAGCAGACACTTGCTGAGTGCCCCTGCTTGCCGGGCGCTGGGCACAGGAGTGAACGGGCCCTGCCTCTCTGTGGACAGCAGGGCAGGGCTCTGGAGAGCGCAGGCCTTGGAGCCAGACGCCTGTCTTCTTTCTTCCTGCCTCAGTTTCCTTGTCTATGAAATGAGATCAGTAATTGTACCCACCTCACAAGGTTATCATGATGGAATGGTGTGGCGGGGGGCCTTGCGTTCAGTGCATGTGCCACCAGGTGGTGTGACCACCTGCCTGAGCAGCATCCTGGCTGTAGGGTGGGCTCTGGGTGGGGCAGCTGTGGGGGAGTGTGGGGGGTGGATGTGGACAGGGACTGGGTGAAGCAGGGTGTGGCCTTGGAGCTGGGAGGATGGGCTCCTGCTGGGGTGCTGGCCATGGAGTGTGGACAGAGTAGGAGCCAAGTTGGGTGCTCTTGTTCGCAGTGGTGGTTGCCACCTGGTTCAGGGGAGGTCAGGCTCCTGGCCCAGCCTCACTCTGAGCACCGAGTGGGTCCCTGAGCTTGTTGAGTGTCCAGACCCATTGTGTGCGAGGCCAGGCTCCATCCCCATGCCGCTTGGAGCCCCCCGTGTGCTAGGTCAGAGCTGGCAGGGGGCCCAGGGGCATGTGGGTACCCGAGGAGAAGGCTGTCCTGAAAGGTGCAGAGGCGGGGGAGGCAGGCATCGCAGGGAGGAGGAACCTGTCTGTCAGGGTCAGAGTTGGGTCCCTGTGTGGTAGGGCCACCAGGCTGAAGCTGGAGGCTTTGTGGGGCTGGGTCATGGCCAGGTCGCGGGAGTGGCTGTTGGAGGGACCCAGTGTTTTAGTCACTTCTTCCTGGAAATCACCGTGGACTTAAGGATCCGATAGGGGAGCC